CCCTTTTTCAATAGACGCAAAGCGAAATTATACGAACAACGCATACTAATCGCGTGCCTCCCCATCAGTAGTATCACCGTTACAGCGGTATTGTCCACTTCGCTACATGTGAGCTCAACCACCTGGGCACAGGCAGTACTGATCGCTTTCACCGTTCAACATTACCAACAGACAAATTAAGCTCATGAAGTTCAGCAGCATTGAAGCCATCATCCCAGCTTGAATACCGTGTGCTAGTGATGTACTATACCGTGTGATAGTGATGTACTATCACACCGAACACAAAAAGTACACTGCTGGAGTCGTTCCTGAAAGACTCAGTGATGAGGATTTGACGTTCGCGTTGGACCGTCGACACGGAAGCCACATGCTCAATTGAGAACAATGGAGTGCTTAACCTGAAAAGTCGAAGTACAGTTACTAGAACCCATCCGTTGCCCGTAAATTTTCACCCCCAGAAACCAGCACAGTAGCCACTGCCTCAAGCGTAACGCCCAAGAGAGATTCATTGCTGCAAATAAGACGTCGCACAGGTTGCGCCAGACCACTGGTGAAACCTATTCGATCCGCGGCTAAAATCCTACGCTGAACTGCGAAAAGTGGGAAGTTTTAAGAAGGTCGGTCTTCCAACAATAACCCTCGGATGTCCGGAGTCCACCGAGATCCTAAAATTCTACCAGAATATCAATAGTGAAGCACGCATTCATCCAGATTAATAAATAATTCAATCAATTTAGCAAAAGCCAATAAGTGTTCAGACACGCCGAGGAAGCACGACTGTCTATGATAAGTGTTTAGGCATTTTTTAGGAGCACGGTTGACGTTGATCGGTGTTAAAGCCTGTCCGACAGCGTGGAATAATATCCAATAAGCTTTTAATTAGAGCGAGACCGTTATAAATTTTACACTCGCTTGTTGCAATAAAGATGTCATGTTCGTTATCCGCGAGTCTTTTTATGGCTTTAAGTCAATGGAATGTAGACAGAAGTCAGATATAACACAATTTGAAATCGATTCTACAGAAAGTGGGTCCAAAGTTGATAATTACAAATAGCCCTTTTTGACTGTACGTTTCAGCCTGGCGTTCCCACAAACGGATGAAATATCTGGCAGCTGGATTGCTTTAGCAATCCAAGATGCGTTTTACATGGAGGCTTGAGCGATGCACTATCGTTTTTGGGCGAAAGTTAGCGCTCTTAAGATGGTTGTTGGTCGCACTGCCAAAGCTGAACATCCCGGATTGTTCGCACACGGCCCACACCCAGGTAATGTGCTGCCAGTGAGCCTTGAGATACTAGAGGAAAATTGGGTTCGTGTCACTCACCACTGACAGATACTGATGCAATAAGTGAGCTAGTAATTTGCTAAACGGAAAACCTAATATGCAGTGTTGTCTAGACAGCTCATATGTCGAAATATGTCAGCTCTTCGCAGTGTCAGTGATTCTTATACAGGGATATCTAATGATGTGCGCACGCTTCCTGAAAGCTTTGGGAAGAGCACAACATAACATCGCAGCCAAACACGAATCGGTCCGTCTGCATCTGTGTCACTAATTTGTTGCAACGAAATTCTACACGTGATCTCTCACAGAGCAAGTTAAATGGTTAACACGTGCCAGCAAACTGCTCAGTTTCCACAAAGGCATACACGACCAAACACCTCGCACCCTTGACATCTGTGTTCCAAAAACACAGGCCCCCTAACGACGTGCAACGCAATAATGGCCTTAAAAGGACCCATCCAAAAAGTTTCGTCGTGCGTGTTCCATCTGTATCTCGTAAGTATTGGAACAGCACTAGGTGCTGCTACCTAGCAAAGTACATGCGGCTGTTGGGACATTCCCAAGAACGTGCCATGAGCACACATCAGGACTCTCGAAACCTAACCGGCATCGAAGGCATATCATCTTCCATAATAAAAGTCATCTATCCGTCTGTCACTCAACGAAGCGGAACGACAGTTCCAGCGGTGGTTGTAGGTAGAGAGCTTGACGAATTCATTGACCGGAAATTGCAGCACCTCACGTGAAAGATTTATATATTTAGGCAGGGCCCTGCATATTCACAACTTTTCTTTGATTGGTTGTCGGGTTACAGGGTGCCGGTTGTACAAGAACTTGGTTAGCTGTTCATCATCATGTTCAAGCTGATAGGAAGTGACAGGGAGATGATTTGCATGTCCACCTACAAAGAATCATACTAGACAAGCGGCGTTTCGTTCACTGCCTGTTATTTGACACAAGCACTCCATTTACTAACATCTGTTTCATCGACAAACACCCGAATTTGGTGGTCGCTTCCTGCATTAGTAGTACATCCAATCGTATCACAAAACAGAACTGGTGCTTTTTCACCCGCTGCACGCACAAAAATCACGGTTTTCCCCCACGTACTGAAAATCCACCTTTTCAAATTCTACGGAGAATGAAAGTGGGACAGCTTCCATTTTCTAAACAAACATAACTGAGGCCAAACCCACGACTTACATAGTCATAGTATCGCAACAGCAAAGTTGAATACACAGCAAAAATTAACAAGAAAGGATAATTTCAACAAATTCTGGCAGAGGTTGGGCAGATTGCGGTAGGTTTTGCTCGAGAATACGTACGTTTAATTGCAACATTTTAACACAAGTTCACTTTCAACCCACAAGGGTTTTTGCATAAGGTTGGATATACCGGGGGCTGATCCGCTATAATGTATGTCGGTTTCCCCTGCTTCCTAATCCGAGGTATTTTTTGAACACGAAAACAGGCCCACTTAAGTAAATCGCATGCACCATGAAGTCTTATTGAAATACACCAAATAAAGATGCTTATATGTATGAAGTTGCAACCCCAAAAACGTCGCACTTGCCAAACAATCGCTTTTACTCTACAGATGCCGACCGGAAATCATGGTAGTGGACTAAACGCTCAACCGAAATGTGCTCCATGAAACGATAGAGGGGACAAATTTAAGAAGTATCAGACATGGTACGGCAGAGAGTAGACTTTCTTGGTTCAAACATATATGCTTATTAATGTTCCATTTCGACGCAAAAGCTTTCTTGTGAAACACTAGGGTTTTGAGGAGGATCACCTATATCGGATGAAGATAAACATCGAAAGCCATGTGAAACTAGTATTGTTTGCTGATATCAGAAGGTTAGTGCACATGTTAGTGATTGGGATGCCACGATAAGCATGCGTGATGGTTTGTCGGCCGGTACGGGTGGTGCCTGCTGTGAGTTCCGCAATGTGTATTTTCGGCGATAAGCTTTGACTAGTTGAAATTGAACCTGGTGGTGCAATCACACTTCGTGATTCGATCAGTAGTATAGAACAGGGGTGCCTTGTTGGCAATTTATGCATGTATCGAAAACCCCGAATGAGATGTGTACCGAATGGAGCATATTGTGTCCTCACTGGTCGAGCGGTATATAGTACTAAAACAATTTACAGCGGACATTGTAGAAGATTAGGAGTAAAATGTTTCTGGGGGAAGTTACCCAAAATATACTGCCACAGAATGAGCTTCGAAAGCCCACAAAAAGGAGGAGACCTTGTTTTATTAATCGGGAGTTTGAAAAGTTGGTCACTGGGGTTGTTCACACGCTGGGAAAGCACCAGGGAGCAGTGATTCTTCCAAAGTAGGGTCTCACGGCAATTTATGCGGACGGGAAAAGAAAGGTAACCATATGAGTCGAAGCTAACTAATCAAGGTTGTACATCACTAACTCTTGCATACACCACGTGGTTGGCACTGTGTACTACATCAGCTTCGTTTTTGAGGAACGCCATGTACCACGTCCTACGCGAACCGGCGACAGCTAGTTACATGTTGCGTCAGGCAGGCAAGCGCGTGAAGGGGTTGTTGTGTCTGGGAATGCGTCGACCGCATGTCATTGGGCGATTCGTTGACTCCATAGCCTGTATGCACATATACAGAGCCAGGTGTCTCGTGATAGCACAACCGACGGATTGTAGCTTTTCTGGTATGGCCGCCAAATGTATGGCACACACTCTACGGAAGCACCACGAGACTGTGGTTCTACGAGGGCACGTGTCCGATTCAGTTTTTATGGGTGGAAAACACGAAGAAACCTCATGTCCTGAAGGTAGGAGCGCAAGGTCATACATTACCAATACATCGCATGAATCACTCAAGATGGTAGGCGCTGTACACTACACTGGACAACTTGATTCATAATTCCAGTTGCACGCTCGCCTGACCTGATAATTCATCCTGTTTATCTTTCTGAGGCACTCGACATGGCCCGCCAAAGTGCTACATTCTCAATAGAGCCGCGGGACCCGTATTGTGAACCAATCACAGCATTAAGGCTTAAATCCGCAAATCAATCAAACAAACTAACGAATCAGCTGTCCGGGTTTCGTTTAGTTTGTTGCTAATACTGTCCGTATTCCGGAGCCCTGGCGCATGGAAGGGTGTCGTTCTTAACGGCATTAGAATAAAATGAACACGGAGGAGGCACTAGAGAACCATGCAAAGTTTAGAAGCTTCACGGCGCAGGTTGACAAGTCGCTCAAAGGGTTCGAGTACTCTACTGAATGGGCTGATTTGATCTCAGCACTGGGACGCTTGATTAAGGTACATATCATTGCTCGAAACACTGACTCACTGTGAGAATACGTTGTGTAAGAATGATACGGTAGCAATGATTTTTAATCATTTCGGACTTTGCGTATGTAGGTGGGTGGTACCGGTAGGCAGATATGTAGCAGCTCGGACCGGATGCATTTTGTAGTATACGGTGTGTCAGTTTGATTGATTTATATGTAAGTATTGGTACTGTACAACCTTGCTTACTGGGCTTTGGCTCATGAGCTTTATTTCTGTTTTCCTGTTACCTGTATTTATATCTTCATCTCCGTTTCTCGAAATCTTTCGATATAGTGTAGCATCGAACCCTACTCCACAAACTTACCACCAAATGTATCAATGGTACCTTCAGCTGAGTCATGTGTTACCTGCAGCACTAGGCCATAGGGTTTCGTGTGTCAGCCTCTGTCAGCCACCTCTGGAATGTCCCGGAACTCAGTGTTTCGTCTCTTTTTCCACGTGGCATTCATAAGTGATTAACCCATATCCACCACAGCTCTCTGAAATATATTCGCCGACAGTATCGGGCTCTGGCGAGCTGTCCACTTCGGCAGACTTACCCCTCCTACCACAATTGATCAAAGGCATACCAGCTGCCAGTCAGTGTCGAAGAGTGACACGTGTTGCCATACGAAGTTCTCGCCACCGTCCACGCACGTTATGTTATGCAGCCTTCACACCGTATTGCGAACAGGGACCACCCATCACGGTGTGGGGAGCGCGTCTCGGTGTCACAAAGCCGACTGCACCGTCTGCGAACACCGGATATCTTGCAAGAGCCCCACTCGGCATCGCATGCTGTATTTATAATTCAACTTTAAAACTCTGCTAGCTTTCTACAGGCTATCAAAAAGAAACTCAAAGATGCACCATAAGTCGGTGTGCCGTTCGCATTATATCCCACACGAAAATCACTTAGATGACATAAGCCTTTCCTTAGTTACATACAGAAGAGTACACGCTGACAGTATCCTTACCTTGCAATTCTTGTAAGACCGTAAAGACACGTCACAAGCCGCTGGCACTCTTCGATACGACTAAACTCCGTAGACATGGAAGCAAAATCACTCACCAGCACGGCCATCTTGACTAGCATCACAATTAGTCTCTCCGTGCTTGCCGCCTTTGGAGTTCCTCACCTCCGTACATCGCTTGTCTCGACAAGCAGAAACTCAGCATTCGTTAGACGTGGCGCATCCACCTTGGTCTACGATACCGGATGTGTTCTTTGTGTGAAGTACCGTCTACTTCACCGAAGATCCATTTACTGATAACGTTGTTCAGAATTCACTGGTCTAATTGATTCTAGCTGTAGTTCTGAGTCATCGTTTGTCGAAGGCGTGACGGTGTCTCGTATCCCACTCCGAAGTGGCCAAGTATCGCAGCCGTATAACAGTGTAGCCCGCACTGTAGATTCTTCCATCACACGCCCTGTATTGCTTAGCGAAAAATATGGAGGGAGTTAGAAGAGTCAAGTACGGAAGGAGCTATGAAGCCACTTTGGTGAATTTGTAGTGTTGATTACCCCAACAACTGGCCTATCGTTCTACGAGGATCATCCGTATTAAAGTAAGGCGCTGGTACGAAAGAGTCAGTGGTACACTAAGGTCGGACACAGCTTTGGTTTTGGTCATAATGATGTGTAGTCCCTTCTGGAATTATTGATTCATGCTCGAAACAGGCAGACTGTTGTGTCGTCCATGCGAAGATGTAAAATTCAACCTGCTGGATATGTGAATAGGCGCGAAAAATTCTTCACTTTTCCAAATGGGTTGAACTCTTACAGTTCTGGACATGTCAGCGACGTACTAAAACGCTTTCGAATTAAATCGGATAAACTAGAGAGGTAATTTACAGTCAATCCAGTGTACTTCGGCCACTTGTGATCAGAGTAGTTGTTGATCAGTCCATCGCAAACCAATTTGTCGCCAAGCAGATTCTTCGAGCAATTCAATCACCTGGTACTTCAGCCGGTAACTGTCAGGACGCGCCCAGACATAAAAAACCACATATGCAGAGAATGACACATCTCCGCAGGACGCGCCCAGACATAAAAAAGCACATATGCAGAGAATGACACATCTCCAGATTCACCATCGGTCCCACACGTTCCGGATAACAGGTGCATTGGCGGAGCTTACCAAACACGGCTTAGTAGCGTACGATCAGTGGAGTTGGGGCTGAAATTGTTCACGACCGAAACACCGCCATTGGGCAGAAGGAACGAGTGAACGACCGTAATTGGCAATTTAGTCATCCTATATGCTTACACAAAAGCTCTGTATGTTTTGTCCTGACAATACAGCCGTGCCCTGGGTTCTCTGTTTCTTATCGCGGGTTCTCTGTCTTCTTATCGCGTAGTCTGGCAGGCTCAGTCCAGGCGTAACCAGTAGACGGCCACTCACGATACAACAGTAACCAGCCATAATCTATGCTTGGAGGGCCTGAGGAGTACCATTCAATCTAACTAATCGACCTAAATTGCTTATTAGGCTGCCGGTCAACACAACTATTAGTTTTGATGATAGTAGACGGCAAGCATGAAATTTGGCGCAAGCGTTAAAGTATGTTTATATCTTATACTCTTTTTCTTTGAGCCAGCTTTGGGCTTGGTAATTGGTGCTGGTTTTCCAAAGCAGAAATGCTTGTAAAAATGTATAGGGTCTGCATGCAGAGCGTAATTTGATTCTTTGATTGGAAGTTTATCCTGGTTATATAGACTACTCCGCACATTGCTTCCACCACTGAGTGGCGTGGCAAATTGTATTCGTCTCACTCGTCTGCGCAACATCTAATTGTACTTCGTGGTTGGCTTCGGCTGCATGCTACCGGTTCACCAGATTAAAGGTCAGCTTGTAATAAAAAGTTTCGGGTTTACGGATTATTGACAAAAACTCATATCCAGCTTTGTAAAATCACCGTGGTCTTAGAAACTGGCTTGTGGTTTCGTTTTTTTGCAAAGTAGACGACCAGTTTCGCCCCCGTCTACGCGCAAAAATTCGAGAGGTGTTTATCTAACAGGTCTTTGGGCAGACGGCGTCAAGTTACTAACCTAATGACACCGGTTGCATCTACCTCATCGCATCAAAAACTACCGAGTAGCAGTGCCTCTAACCGTTTCACGGTTACTTGTCTCGATTATGAATCGGTTATGAATCAGTCCACTGATAGGATGGACTAAGTGCGATAAGTTGATCGGTCACTAGGAGTCACGTATATTCTGTGCGATTGATGTTTGCATCAACGTCTGAGTCGCCTGCAGGCATGACCCACGAATGGCTTCGAATACCGTTTAAATTGTTCTTTACCGCAGTCTTACAGCAAAACCTTGTACATGTTGGTTTCACTTTTTCCTGTGTGTGTGTTCCGTTTGGAGTCAGTTGATTGGTATTGTATTTTTGGTCATATTTTAGCCATCACTTCGCCTTATTACCCGAATAAGCAAATAGAGTTCCGTGTCCTGGTTCTTTTCAGTTGCTATTTTTTCGTCTGGTTGCTGCCACCATCAGGCAGTGTGCGTGTTTGTGTCGCGATTGATAGATCCGTTTGGCTGTGGTTGTCAGGATTTAGTGTTTTGAGTTGTGCATCACTTCTTGCAGCGAACTGGGTCGGCTACAGTTTGCCAGTGAAGGAGTATGGTAAACTAATATGACTTATTGACTTTCCGGAATCAATTCGAACTTGGCAATTTCGGTGATGGGCTTGGAAATATGAAGTTCGAGGTATTTAGCCTCGCCTGAACGAGCTAACGAATAGGTGGGGTGACTTGTTTGATAGCGTTCGAATCACGATGTGTTTTTCTTTAAGACAATACTTCATATTGGCAATGGTAAGATAGCGGTCTGAAGAGACAACTACCTTTGCCATCCACAGTCTCAATACAGTAGCACTCGAGAACGCCAGGTCTGTGGACCAGGTAGTGAAGGCCTGTGATAATAAGATAACCATTTTTGGACAGCGTATTTTCTTATACGGCTTATATATTGTTGGCTTATTGTTTTTGGCTCATATTTCTTGTTTGTCGTCTCCCGATGAGGTTGGAGCGTAGACTGTAGTTAAAATCGCATAGCAGAACGATCGGTGCGGACATCAGTTTGGACCACCAGTATCGTAACGTTCCACAGACACGAACCTGAATACAGAGGATGAATTGACCTTCGCATATCAGTCAGATCTGATCTAGAACGTCCTGCAGACTTTCAGTCCTGAAAGAGAACCGTGTTCGTTCCTTTGTAAAAATATACGGACTCAATCACGCGATGCTCATTATTCGGTGATTCGTATTTTCGGCATGGCTTATCGGTATCAGGATCATCTGTTGTCGTTCATTTGAAAAGCATTGGGTGAAGGGCCACCCGCGTAGCAACCGAGTTATCCTAATCGCTATCGGTGTGTCATCAGTTCCGGACAGCAGTGCTTCACTGACACGTATAATTTGTGAACACAAGGTGCACACTGTAACAGCTGATACAGGTGGTGGTAAATAGCAACGTTTGTATTTCCAGTCCGTTTACTCTCAGCCAGGTCAGATTTATTTGCAACCAGTTACACAACCGTACGCACGGCATTCTCCGTGAGGGAGTGCTCATCTTCCTGCTGCCACTGTTGTCAGCCTATTATGGGAAACTGTGCTGGTGATATAGCATAGACCCTTCTATTTTTAACCATATTTATCTCACTGGATTTTCCAGCATTGGTAACAGTAAATTTCGGACACCTGTTCGGTAAAATTGAGCTCAGCCCCATCCCGTTCCCTCCCAAGAGACCACTCTTACAAGGGGAACACATTCTTTTCCGGAGAACAATCTTCTCAGCCAGCTGTGTTTCAAAACAACCAGAGAATTAACTCATCCGCTTGAAGGAGAGAGGTGATGTAAGGTAACCTAATGGGCATTTGCATGTTTTGAAAATTATGAACCCACTTAGACGCCAAATTATTGAGTTTAACTGATTTTTACGACGCGAAGCACCCGAGTACTTTTGTCTTCATAAGAACTTTTATGCTCTTTAGAACAGTTCTTTCCACTGGTTACCAGTTTATTTGATTGAGCAGGCTCCTCCAACAAGGAAAGCTATTGAGCAACCCTGTATATGTATTTCAAAAATAGAAGTCAGTCATGAGCGTTTCTAATCCACCCTGTTTCTCAGGTTATTCAAAGCAACTCCAAAGCCGGCTATATCCCTCGAGGTTTTCTGATTGGGAAACGTCTGGCTCAATGTCTTCATCCGGCCTTACCACCTGGAGTTCACTGCAAAGCCCTTGAGTGTTATGATGTCATCTTTCGCACCGTTGGTCCGCAGCGACTGGTACCAGATCTACCCATCTACGGAGCCGGCTTATTCTCTCTTCTTGGACCCTCGGCCATGGCAGTCAAACCTCCTTTGTTTGACATCTTTCAAGAGCACTTGCTCCCTCTCGGCACTGCCTTACAACCGGCATTTATGGGACTGCTCCAGGTTTGTCGCCTAGACTTGCCCTTGTATTGGGCCTTTTAGTAACTTCACCGCAGATTTAGGGTGTTGGTCCTAGGGTCATTCAGCCATTATTCTGAAAGTCTGTGGTTCCGTCCTTTTTAACATTTTTCGCATTCTATAGTTCTGGTTCATTGGCATGAATGTTATTTTTATTATCATGCTTTATGTATCATAGAAAGGAAGTGTAGAGAGCTTAATTCAAGTACATATATTGTCAAAGCAGACCTAAGTATATTACGTGTGAGCTTAAGCACTACTTTTATGGACTAAAAGCGTCCGCCGATGGAAACACATCGCTGACCCGTATCCTTTTGACCTTCATCCGGTCGTAGCACACTGGGCAACTTTCACTTTATTTGGTACAACAGGTCGTTGTGAGAACAAAAATCGCTACGGCACTCTAAAATCCTGCTGATTATCACGGAATACTTGATGGCCTCATAAAAGCCTATCCTATTACATTGAAATCATTCAACTTCATCGGGTTAGTGACATGTCAAGGCGTCGACGTCACAGATGTAACTTTTTCGTGATAGAATAGTGTTCTTGATGTTTTTCCAGTGATATCCAAAATATGTTAGGAAGCTGTCTATATCGGTCGGGCCGAGCATTCTATTGCACCTATTACGGAATCTGTCTAGTGCATATCTATCCCTATGCACTTTTGTCGCCAATCTGTGGAAATAGCCTAGGTGAGGCTTCCACCACATCTGGAAAACAGGTGTTGCGTAGCGCCATCATGCTCTTGTTTCTTTGACAACCTTTTTCAGTGATCAAAGGAACTCAAATTGCACTACCAATGAAAGGACGAAAGCCCTACACTGCGAAGTTGTCTATTAGCAAACGAACCAAATGGTTACATCCCGGTAGGCAAGAAAGCAAACATCTCACGTGCATAGAGTATTTGAAAACTGAACATTCTGAAGCGTCCTGTTGAGCTTTCCTGGATGTCCATTGCATATTAAACGATATTAGACAAATACTACAAAGCGGTTCCATAATTTCCGTAGTATCCTTCACCTTCCATCGGATGCTCAAAATGGCTCAGCAGTCCAAGCTCGAATTTACTCATGGGAAGGTCCAACCCATTCTCTGCCTCTCGACTCATCCTGTTCGGGCTTAGGCAACCTGACAGTATTTTAGTCCTCAGGTGAAGTGGTAGCTAGGCAGCGAAAGGTTGCTACAGCTGAACGCTTATTTCCATCGGCTGCGGGGCGGAGCTTGGACATCAGGCCATACACTGCTTGCATGCTTTATCAGTAGTATAAATCGTTACATGGGTGCCTGGAATGTGTGCATGGGCCACTTATGCAATAACCACACAAGCTTCAGGGGGGAAAACAACCTGAACACGTCAATCTGTAAGGAAGATGTCCGTACTGAACTCGCCAGCTCGGTGTAAATGATTGTAATACCAGGCTGTCACTCTGTCCTCTGACTCACTTTCAGTGTTACCAACTTCCGATTCACCAGTTTTCATCGCCAAATTTCGATTCCTGTTGCCTTTTAGTTTAGGATTTCGAATCAAATTAAACACGATCGCAGATATTGAGAAGCATACTGGTTACGGAATCGTGGTGTGACTGATCATACAGTCAGATCTTACGTAGTCTAGTTTTGTGATAGCCTGTTGTTGATTCCATGCAGGCGAGTTGTATTTTCAGGTTCGGAATGAAATTAGTGGGTTTTACCACAACTGCACTATGAATTACAATCCCTAGGTTTGTCGTCGGCTTGCGGTTTTGTTCAGCATCATATATCGAGAGCCACAGTAGCTTGAGACAGCCTTTAATAGAGACGAGTATGTTACCATGGCTGTATTTATATTTCTACAAGGCCATGTATGCTAGAACCTTCGCGGCGTGGTGAGGAGCGCCGAGTTAAGAGTGATCGATTCTGACCAGCCCATATACCGACCAATCGGAGTGTGCCTTCCTTTGTTCCGTAGGCGGTTTGTGACATCCGTCCAACGGACATGGTGTCCGGTTATCTAGAATGCTCGTCTTCGGACATGCGCTGATTCTCAGCATCACTGTGCGCACTCGTTTCGTATTCCTGCATTGTCTCTACACTTGAGACCAACCCCATGAAATGGCTTTTTGCGTTACTTTCGTGGTCAAACTTTTTGTGGCCTAAACTGTTCTCCGATGATTTCAAACCCAAACGTATTTAGGTTTTGAGTAATCTTGTTTGTTAATTTTTCAATTTTTTATTGATCTTATGAAAAGGCGTACTGGGATTTCTCTCAGTAGTTGACTGCAGGTCAGTGTTCGGAACTTGTATGAACAAAGTGGTAGTCAGCTATGTTGAACGTGTGACTTTTGAAACAATAGGCCACTAAGAGTCCGTCGACCGATGTTCCTTTGATTAATTAGGGGGAACTTATGTGCACGCCCATATTCTACTGTTTTTTCACGGGAACCCCGAGAACTGTTGAATTTCTGATCAGACGCGCTTGTATACCGACAGGGTTGACAAGTACGCAGTATTCCGTCGGGAAAACCAAAACGGACCGTCAAAATAGCTGTATCGCTCAACAACACTGGCCAAGTGGTTTCTTCAGGTTCCACAGACGACTTCACTGGTGGTCTTCCAACGAACTCTCCTGAATAGGGATCTTTCCAAAAGGAACTATTGGGGCTATGTTCTGCGGACAGTGCACTGACAGAGAACACACCTGATTACGGTCTGGAAAACCCACAATTTTCATCTTGAAGTAAACAGTGAAAACAACAATGTTGCGGGACAAATTCGTTTTGTACAATTTTGTCTGCCGCAACACGCGTAAAACGGTACACTGAAACAAATATCGGTCATATCGAACTCAGTTTAATGAAACCAAGGTAGTCTCAGAGTAACTCTGAGCACATTAGTCAACATTGCCTCGAGCAACATCAGTCTATGTAGATGAGTACTTCGTCCTACGACCTAGAAAAGTTCAACCAGTAAAGGTCCCTGTGTCCTGTCTCGATCGGATGCGTGGTAATCGGTGACTTCCAAGTTACCTCAGGATCGACCGACGGTTTACGAGGTCGTTTCGGCAGGTGCTCTTCTGCTTGCGTTTCTAGGCTTTGCTCCGTTCCACCGATGTTTGTATCTCCGCAATTTCAGCTGGATAGATAGGTGCAAAGACTGGTTGACAAAATTGACAGTGGACCGGCGGAAGTGACATAGCCCTTCTGTATGCCCTAAGCCTAGCTGTGCAGTGGCTAATGTTCGGTGCACAGTCACATTTTAGGTGCGTTCAAGCTGGCTGACTGCATGATCACCCGTAGAAGAGACCTTTAAGTAAATAGGCTTCTTTCATACAGAGATTTGCGTCTATTTGTTTCTCATTTTGGGTTAATTCTCAATAAAATGATCACGCTCTTAGGCCCTAGCACGAAGCATTCCTTCACATAGACATACAAATTGTCCAACGCAATATCAATCAATGGTTTCAGGCTTATACTTCAAAAGACCTGAGAGGTACCCTGAGACCACCTTCGTTTTATTACACTGGGCTCCTTATAAGCGATGCAACTAGCCTCGTACTTTGTTTCACCGTACTCCATTTTGCACCCACTGGATTGTACGAAACAAATTTGTCTTGCGACCTTGTTGTTCTCAATACCTTATTTAAAGGGGCCCTGAGTTTTAGTCTTTCCACTTTTTGATAAGAGACACTTCGGGAAATAGGAAATGCGCATAGTTATCCTCATGGTGGTTCATATCCGTTCATATCATACTGTGCCGCAAGATGTCCCTGTCTCAGGTGCTGCTCGCACTTGTTTGGGTCCAAGTTTAAGCACTTTTTTCTGTCTTTTAGGGCTTGTTACCTGGGCTGGAACAGGGAGCAGAATTTTCCGAACGCGGTGTCAAAACAGTGGAAATGTTTTGTGCTGCTGTTGGACCCAGGTTTTTCTACACATGTCTGTGGAAAGTAAGTTTCTCCTTGGATGTATCTTCATAATAGATTAGATCCTAAATGTCGTTTTCCCTTTTGAAGAAAATTTTATCTTACTCGCTACCCACTGTAGGTGATATTCGATTAATCTTCGTTGGCTGTGCGTATCCCCTGTAGTTAGAAACCTATCTCTCTATCATTAAAAACCGTTCGATTTGAGGCAGTTTATTCGGTTTGGATTCGTTCCAGCAAGCGTTCGTTTTACAGTAACCTCCATTTGTTGCTGTTTGACCTTATCGGTATTGTATCTCATTCTGCCGTGTTTTCAGATACTCATTCATTCACCATCAGCACGTCACTTCGGAATATCCTTCGTCCTCAATCATTTCAATAAGCGCAAGCCGCTTGAGGATCAAGATTATATCTATGGTCTGAATCGGAGAGTCCTGGTCAGTCTACATTGCACCTGTAACACTTTGAAGTTCCTCGAAACCGTAGCTTGTGACGCCGTGTCGTGATACCATTTGAGGGTTTATTTTTCCTTTGTTTTACACTCATATTACCGGAATGTCTTCGGAAGTATGCCACGCGTGTTTTTGTAGGTCGGGGAATATGATACATGACGTGCCATTGGAAACTCGCCGGTCAAAATTCTTGCGATCAAATGATTTTCTTTTCGAATTTCACCCCTTCCGGAAAGATGCTGTACCTCAGTTGATGCATTGTATGGGAGAAGTGAACATCTTTGATGCCTTTCGGTTCCCTGGAATGAAGGAGAGGGTCAATCATAATTTTGATATTGCCTGTTAGGATCTGCCTCTTAAGATCGCCAACAGAATCTTTCTAGCTGCGATAGTCGCATTCCATCACCAAAAATCAAGCTAGGTGACGTAATTCCAGCTTTTCTTTTCGTGCGCCATGCCAACAATACATTCATCTATCATGGCCCTTAAAATTAAATGTTTCAGTCACTAAAGAGCACGTCATTTCACGAGACACCCTCGTGAACTTGGCTGCTCTATATCTAAGGACCCTCTCTCATCCTTGTGAATTCTAGATGTGGCGCGTGCTGTTGTCAGTCTTCTGTGCGTCGTATGCTGACCTGTGGGACCTCTGTAGCGTTGTGACACCCGTTATCCGGTTCGGTGCTGTATACAGGGATCCTATTTTCGCAATCATTATCAGAGATCATCGTTAAACCTCCAATCATTATCCCAAATTTTTTGTTCCCTTAGATCCAAAGTCTATCCCGTCTCTTCGGCGATTCTGTTCTACTTGTCCAGCGCGATGCGTTGGACTTTCTTCTCATGGCCCTCCCGATACACTTTATTTCCCTCCCGAATGTGAATATCGCCGATGGTCCTTTGTCCACAGACGATTGCAAGGCTCTGTGTACTTCAGCGCTTTGTGTACTCCTGCGCAGGGATGCTTCACTTAATCGTCGTCTGTTTACTTGGCTTAAGGGTGGTCAGCCCGTGGAAGTCGTACCATGCCACAGTCCCACAGCCGTCCAAAATTCACATCGACCTCTTACAGTGGCCTACTCGGTTCTCAGTCATTGTAAAGAGGTACATGATTTTATGGTAAGCTCAACCGACTATACCGGTGTTAGTTATTCATACTTTTTCTCCAGAGTTTTTCCAATCCAAGTGCCTATTAGGATGGGCCACCAAGCCTTACGAGTTAAAATGAAACAATTTCCCGGCTCGTTCTGGTGATGTGGATTTATTGTCATAGTTTTATTTTCTTGTTTTTCATGCATAATAGTCAAAACATGTCTCAAAAGAGGGGGACAAAGAGTGTAGTCTTTATCTACCTGTGGTTTCTTTTATGGTCTTGATAACCGAAACAACCAGATATCTGCTGCACCGCACGTAGGCTGTTCAGACAGGTGCAGGCGCATAAAGACAGTGGCTTAGACTCCAACCTAGCTCTCGCTTTTGAGTAGTCGCCCGACAGTTTCTACAACCTACCCTTCTATGCTCGTCATGCCACAATGCATACAGCAACAAAGTGACGTTGGTGAGCTTGCCTAGTGATGATCTGCTAAGGAGAACATTGATTGCTCATTTTTTAATAAGAACGGAACAACTGCACAGCGTTTTCCCTTTTCAATGTTTTTCCCATCTTCACAACATATATTCTTTATCAAAAGGCTACGAGTTTCCTCGCTACTCACAAAGACGGATGAATAGGTATGACTAGCGTGATCATTTTAGGCTGGTGCAATATAATATACTGATTACATTCTCTTGTGTGCATGCGATGAACAAAATTGTTAATGAAGGTTGTTGTCGGTTCGAGGTAGCTCAACGGTTAGGGCGTCAGCTTACCGACCGGAAGGTTCGTGGTTAGAACCAAACTTCAGAATTTCGACTGCTTCTGTCTGGGTAACCTGGCAGTATCTGACCCCTCGAGTTCCTTCAGATCGCACGGCAGCTAGGCCTCGAAAGGGTGTTACAGCTGATTCTTATCATGCGATGAACAAAATTGTTAATGAAGGTTGTTGTCGGTTCGAGGTAGCTCAACGGTTAGGGCGTCAGCTTACCGACCGGAAGGTTCGTGGTTAGAACCAAACTTCAGAATTTCGACTGCTTCTGTCTGGGTAACCTGGCAGTATCTGACCCCTCGAGTTCCTTCAGATCGCACGGCAGCTAGGCCTCGAAAGGGTGTTACAGCTGAACGATTCTTATCGTTGTATTGTTTCGGTTCCTGTTTCAGACTACCCATGATCAGGCGACGGAAGTGGATCAATATGTGCAATCCCTCTATTTCAACCGTTATTCCAAAGCTATATTGATTGATGCCGTGCGACAAATCATTCATCGTCCAACCTGCTTGCCACTTCCGAATCAACTAATTGGTTTATGGGACTCCGGATCTCTAACCGCAAAGCGTGCTTCTTCCAATATTGGTAAGTTCAATTTGAAAATTCCTTTCGTGCATATGCTACTTATGTGGTGTGATTCAAGTTTAAAGTCGAATATGGTAACGTACTTCCTGGTCGAATGCCCTTTTTACGTTCCACCTCACCTGTTTTTGTTGTGTGTCACCGATTTTCTTCACTACTTCCTAGCCATCGAACGTGGAATTGCCGAGCGGCCTTACCGAATTCTTACTGGTCTATTGGATCGTTGCGATCTTGGCGTATCCATTATTGAAACAATTTTATCGGACATTCTGCGTTACACTTACGACGGATTTCACATCCTTAAGCAGCGCAGTTCTGCATGGATTGGCAGTGACTCAACGAAAATCCTCCACCCGAAATCACCTACCAAATGCGGTTTCGACACAATCTCAGCGATCGTGGATTCTGATGTGGTTGCTATGATTATGAATCACGTGCTGGCTAAGGATAACACGAAGTCCCTAACTTTACGTAAGTTTACCGATAGACTTAAGTTCACATCGATTTTTTTCGTGTCATCCAAGGTCGTTATCATGATAGACTTATAGCTGTTGATGTCATTCACTCTAGGCTTTCGTGATTATTGCGGAGTTTGATGTGATTGACATTGAGTGTCACTATTTCCCATTAATTCTCAAACTCTTTATCACAATTCCCTGTGTCTGATTTTATGATGTACTCTCATTCGTGGATTTATTTTATGAGTCATTGTTTCCGTTGTTCGTCTGCCTTTGTCCTGCATGTCTATGTCGATTTTTGCCACAGTGGTAGCTTTTTTTTTTAGGTCGGTTGAGGAGTGCCTTCTGAAACCCGAGGACCTTACACATAAAATGACTACTTTTAATACTCAGATCGATCACACGGCCACACTCAATGTCGTATGGTTTTCATGAAGAAATATCACAAAGTAGTTTACCTTAGATATTACCTTAGATGCTGCTTGATATAAGTTCAGATATTGACTAGGAAATGAGATTGACCATTACGCTATCAATATGTCAGGTAGAAAAATGCGTGTTTCATACTTCGGTGGGAACCAATCAAACTAAAACTACCAAGGCAAGAGGAGAGAGATATCGTGAGGTTTCATTGCTTTATCAGGCCCGCAGACTACATATTGATATTAGTTGAATACTCATTGGAGCTGAACAATCTAATGATTATCTTAATTGGTAGGTATTGAAGCTCAAAGTAAGAAGTTGTCCCTTCCACCCACCGGCGAAGTCTTTGCACCGGAACCCGAATTCTCGGAAATGGTCCGAACACAAGAAACCAATATGCTTCAGTCATTCGATGCCACTACCAGCGGCCATCGCAACGGGGCATGCGATTCTGTACCTACATATCGTTTGACTGCTTCGGATGAATTTCTCCGCACGGCTCACTTGTTTCTGAGCAACCTTGACGGCTCTTTTCTCTGGGAGTACATCGAGACCGAGTTCAGCCTATTGTTGGCTACGCGCACCAACACAGGCGCATCACGTGTTCAACAACTTAAGCCACATTTCCAACTTGATGATTTGTGCCGCGTAGTCCACTTTTTGGTTACTAGGCTACCTATCGACACTTATTCTGGAGTTCGAAACTATCATTTACCACGGCTAACATCGCACCTGCTCAGGTGCATGATGCAGAAAATTCAAGCGACAACCGATGCAGACGAGGGATCACTACCTCCAACATACGTCTCCAGTCTTCTAAGTGTTGTCGACTCTCTAGTGAGTCAAATGTCCGAGGTAAGTTTATTTTGTCAGCTGTACAACTCTAATACACTGGTACTCAAAATTGTTTACCTCAGTGATAATGACAATGTTGTTCCCAAGTGTCCGCACAGACATTTGATCCACCAATTCACTTAGTCTTGTTTATTCTTTACCTGTCTAAAAAACGCTTGATTCCTTGTTGTGTTGGAATGTTTTCTGTTTGTAGTGAACTCTGTTCCATACCATTTACCGTTTTTTGTTGAAATCTAATTACTTTCAGCCTATGTTTTTTAAATCCGTAAAATAGTTCCAGCTGTTTTAAGTGAAATATCCATTTCAGCTGTTAAGTACCAATTATTTACTACTGATATGGTGGTATTATTCAGTTTTACTCCGGTCGTTTTCCATACGTCGCTTCAATAAAGCTTCTTTGGTTTCCCTTAATGTCTCAAATTCAAATTGTCTTCGGCGTCCGTTTCTGCTCTCTTCAGTTCATCATGTCGATGTTCGACAAGGCCGCAATGTTTTCAGTGAACGATCCAAAGTTATCGAATCCAAAATCGGAAACCAGCTCAGATGTTTTCAAGGGACAGAACGTGTCACGGTCAGCTGAGCCCAATTTGGCTGCAGTGGCCACGACTATTGGACATTTTCGTCAACTGTTTGGCATATTTTGCGTGCATATCTTGGAATTTTCTCCCCAGCAAGTAAGTGTATTTGGCCAGTAGGACATCTGTTCGATAAGCCTTCATTTTCAATATAGCTTTTGATTTTCTTAGCTCCAATATGTACCCAAACCTTTTGAAGGAGGGGCTTAATATTTTACATTATATGCGTTTTGTCACTCGTTTCCCACTGTTTTTCTGCCTTTCTAGACACTACCTATTGATCGGGATTTTTGGATACCCCAGCCTGGTTCTCACCGAATGTACACCGTATATCAAGACATCGTAGCGTGAAACAGATGAGCCTGTTTGGTGTTCCGGTTACATTAAAAGGGTGCGTGGGCATATATATATATATATATATATATATATATATATATATATACCTGGCTAGCGTCCGACAGGGATTGATCTGGCACATCAGACGAAATCGATGGATCCACGCGCGAATTGGGTGATGCAATATGCCGCCTGCACTATGCCGCATTTGTTTCCAGCAGAATATCCTTCACCGGGTGTAAACCCGAGGGGATAAGACCAGAGGGAGCGGAAGATGGGACAGTTCTGTAGCTATAGACATACCTAACTGGCAGTCGCCAAGTCAAACAAAAATGGGCGGGCAATTGTGACCCACAGTGTATACGAAGAGTGACCTGGTGACCAGCGACACGTATGGCTAGTTAGTGTACAAAACATGAAGAAAAATTCAATCAATTCGTATTCGAAATACAGCACAGCACAGTACGATACAACAGAGTGTTCCATAATTCATCCCAACTGGGCATGAGATGGCGGCAAATATACGAACGTTCAAACCCATATATATATACATATATATATATATATACATATATATATATATACATACATAAAAAGTGAATTAAATTGCCAGTTAACAGTGGCTGAACTACTGGATACTTGCGCACAGTTGCACCACCAGAAACGGCCTATGCGGTGTGGTGTTGCGTACCGCCTGAGTGTGTGAACCTTAATGATCCCAGAGGGCCGATCCTACTGGGACATGTGCGTCTGCATACTTTTCAAGTCCATATGGTCGTGGCTGCACTGGGAAGATTGGACTACTTCCGAGTGGCCCCCTTGCTTCGCGGCATTGAGACGCGTCATGTTTCATGGATAATTATTACCCAATCTTCCCGAATCGAGTACCGAATTTTCCCATGATTTATGGCGGAAGTCACAGTTTTTCAAACTTACCCAGCAGTGGGTTTCACGTGTTTCCGGTTGACTGAAAACGGTTAAGTACCTTAACACGCCGTCTGTGA